GGAGAACTAAGAACACGCTTATCTCCCTGAGCCTGGCCTTCATAATTCCATTCCATCACACTACATGAAGTATAAATATGTGTGACTGGCTGAATATTCATGCTGAAATGAAATGCATTACCTAGCTGACCTCGGCTGATCTTCTATACAACCCCACTAGCCAGTCTTAAGGAAAAATTATCACGTTCTGCTCAGGACACCCACTACTAGATTCTTGAGCTGTCTCCTGAATAGTCCCAAGCTTTAGAGTGCTGGATGCATATTCCCAGTTGTCATTCCTGTCTTATTCACTTTAACTCATTAATGTATCTCTTTCTAAGATCACAAGTCTGCCCAACTATATTATCAGACTCCAGCCATCCTTCACAACAACATCTAAACATTTAAGCCAAGTTTCCATTATATCTAGTACTATATAGCAAAGGCAACGACAGAAAATGGAGAGTTAGCATTCTTCAGTCCTTGTTAAAGCAGCCAGTAGCACAAGAAACCAGAAAAGAAAAAAAACCCAATACAGACGTTTTCAGTGTTACACATGAATTACTGAGATAACCTGGATGGTCAATCTAGCTAAAATCCTAACAAATGGAGGTACAGGAAATAAGAAGCAGGCCTGCTGCTGAGAAAGCAAAACCTACATTGAAACTCTTGCAGTAATGGTTTGTCCAAAACACAGCTTCTGTCATCTAGGTGTCCAAGGTGATGCTCTTCCCTTCCTAGCTCATTGGCTCATGATTTGCCCACCTTTTGTCTTATTTTCTCTCAGACAGGCAGCCATAATTACCAGTCATATCTCAGGCTGGTTAATACAAGTTCTACAGCTTTTCCCCTTCCTAGGCAAATAATCCATTTCCAAGAACAACAGTAAAGCTGATATCAGAGGCTGCTTCATCCAGGAATCCATACTTTTCTTGATAACGTCATCCCTTGAGCCAGCAGTTCACCACCAGAATCCTCTGTTCATTCCTTAGCCTGTGACCATCAGTTGGAAGTATAGATGAAAACGCCACCTGTCTTCAGAACACATTTGCCTTTCCAGGTTCTTTCTGGTAGTGTCGTTTGTTCCAACGTGAAACAGAAGAAAGGGATAATGGTCAGTAGGTTTGATTACTTGGATCAGCCTCTCTATCATTTTTTGGATCTTCACACCTGGGAGGCAACTTACTTCCCTTCCCTCTAACAAAATCATGATGTTGCTTTCATTGTGTTCTCAGTCAATGCATGAGGCAGTCTATGTAGTTTGTAGATGTACCAGTGTTAAAGTAGTATTTTGCCTTTAAGCCAACAGCAACCAGAGCAGCTTCAAAGTGTATCAAATCTGACCTGCTTCATCTTCCATGCAGTGCAGTCATATGACCCATGAGGGCAGGATCAGCCCCACCCATGTTGGCCCCTTTGGGCTAGTATGGGTATGTACCCTCTCTTTTAGTCCTTGGGTGCTCTCTACTGCCATTCATATTTTTGTCCTTTCAACCAAAAGAGGTGGACACAACTGCTGGGTTGGTGCTGAGTTTTAAAAAGCTGGGCTTTACCAAATGCATGATAAAACAGGAGAATGTGGCTCTTTCAAAACTCAGCACCTTGGCAAGGATGCTGTGTGATCAGCAGACCTGGGGAGTACTGGGTTTGACAGATGAGTAAACCTATGGAGCTGGCCATTTGTGAAAAACATATGACAATCACAGCAGGCAACATTTAGAAAAGAGTAGGGCAGCAGAGCCAGAGGATTTAACCAATAGCTTGATTGGACATACCTTCACACATGAAATCAGGACATCACTAACGGTGGCAAGCCAGAACACAGCTTAGCGTTAGCGTTAGGCAGGAGAGGGCTCAGCAGTGTAGAAAGGAGATTTTATGTTGGTAGTTTTCTGTTGGTTCAAGGACAGGCTGATAGTATATTCACTGACCTGTGGGAAAAGGCTGAAAGTACTCAATAGTTTTGATTGTCTTTATCTGTTTTAGCTGTTTTCAAATATTTTAACTGTTTCAAATTATTTTATTGGGTTTTCCTGATAAGAAACTGAGACAAATGATAGGTGGGGGAAGGGAAGGGAAGGCAGATTAGGAACTGAATTTAAATGGAGGAAAGGATTATGTATAATTAGAGTTCAGTTGCTGCCCTCCTTCTATACCTCTCGATATTGTATTCTCTCATTTTGATGAACTACACATTTGGCAGGTATCAGGTTGGGGAAATTGGCTTTAAACTTTGAGGTGGAATGGAAGTAAATGTGGACTGGCAGAGGATTGGAAAGAAGATTGAACCAAAGAAAATCTAACAGTTTACCCAGTGCCTGTTCCTTGCCTTCAGTTTATCCCATGTCTCCACTTGCATTCCATAATGAAATATGCAGCAATGCAAAGGATGAATTTCATGGAAAGAAGCATTTCTTGTAACATGAAGAGATGTTTTCAGAAATAGTTTCATGATTGCATATAACACCCATCTTTAAATAATTGCAAGTAAGATATTCTAGGAACTCTGTCAGAAAAAATAACGCAAATAGTCTGTCAACAGAGTCTTTCACTAAGAGTGAAAACAGATTCAGAAAATATTTTATATTTGGGGTGTCCTGGAATGAAACTTTCAGAAAATGCAAAACCACTGTATAATACTTTTTAAATCAGTCCAAATATTAAGAATTGATATATGTGTACTGTATGATATGTATACTGTAAATAATCTTGTTTGGTGGTGTTGATAAAAGAAATATCCATAGTGGATATTAGGGATATGCAAAGCATTCAAAAGAGATGCTTCAAACAAGAGGAGGGGGGCACTTACTGGGCATCTCTTTTGTAATAATTAACAGTTCCATTGTTGTAAAGTTTGTGTGGCTGCTCTTGGCTGTTTTGTGGCCACATGAATCCTGCAAACATTGTACTCTCTTTTTGGATGCTTTGCACAGTCCTAGTAGTTATTTCTGATGTAATTTTAAAAGAATTCATTTTAATTCATGTGCCAGTTTTCTGAAATTACTTTTGTGTAAAGATAATAAATGCAATAAACCAATTAAAATGCAGGAATATACACTAATTAACTGGTCAATATGAAAGAATTAGTAAAAATTAAAACATAAGAAAATTGTCTCAGTTTCTACTAAATTTTGCCAATGAATGAGTGATTTTCAGCTTGATTAAATCAGCTGGGATGGTCAGCAGTGATTTTCTAAACAGTGATTCTCAACGTCAACAGTTTTAAGATGTGTAGACTTTAACTCTTGGAAGTTCTGGGAGTTGAAATCCACACATCTTAACAGTTGCTGAGGTTGAGAAACAATGTTCTAAATTCCCTTCCTATGATAACAATTTGACAAATCTCTATTCTCTTATTCTGTTAGGTGAAAATGATTGCTGAGGAATTCCTGACTTCACTGATTAATCAGGAACATAAGCCTGCTACAGAAGCAGCAGAATCAATGGAGGAGCAAGAGGAGGAGGAGGAAAAAGAAGAGGAGGGAGGAGAGGAGGGAGAAGAAGAGGGAGAAGAAATTAAAAAAAATACCACAGATGCTGAGAACAAAGTTACTGCTAAGGTCAGAACTCAAGAGACTTCTCTGTTGGACCACCTCAGTCAAATTCAGAGAACTTCCATCATTAGTTCTGGATGGGAATGTATTGCCCCAGATGGAACTGGTGCAGAATTTGGGAGATTTCCTGTCCATGAACCATTTAAACCATTTTTGCCCAATGTAAGCAGTACAATAACATGTCCTCTCTTTGCCTTTTAATGTCCCCTTTTAATAGTGTCTTTCCATCATTCAGAAAGCAATCCCCATCAAACACAGGGAAAAGTGTGTGGCAATATTGCTTCACATGTTATGCTAAGCCACCCTGTTAGAAAACATGGCTTAATGCAGTAAATGAAGCTGTGTGTCTTGCTCCAGGAAAGGATTGTGTGTATACCTGAGCATGGAAAACTCATTCTGGGGGAAAAGTTATAGTACCTTTTTTTCAGTGCCCAGTAAGAAAGATTTTTGCAGTCACCAAAACAGAATGGATTATTTTCCATTAATTTCATTAGGAAAGGTATCAGTGGATGGCACTGTCTCAAACGTGTGACGGTAATGCTCATCTGATTGGGGGACATTATAGATCTGAGCAGAAGTTCAAGCAAATCTCTCTGTTGAGAAAGTCACCTTGTACAATAGATATTACTCTAACAACATCATGTTGAACATTGCTGATCTTTATTTTCAATAGGGCACAGTAACTCCCAGCAAGAGGAAAGGGGCTCGTTCCAAAGGAAGAGCAAGGAGCAAGAGATCCCGTTCCCAAAGCAGCTCCAAGGAAGAAGCATTGCCCAGCCCCAAGAAGCTCAGCCGCTTGCAGGACGAGCGCAATACTGAGGGGACAAGAGCCTCTCGCCCACAGGCCAAGGAGTCCCAGACCCCGCCGGATTCTGATGGAGCCCATCGGAATGGAGGTCGGCTTCCAAAAGCACAAAGCCACAAAAAGCTCACTCAGCAGAAAGAAGAGCACAAAGAGGAAGAGGAGGATGCAAGAGATGTTTGTAGCACTCCAGTTAAGGACTTGGAATGTGAGGTAACCAAGAGACCTTTCCAGTGGAGGATTTACTACTGCCAGGGAATCATAGGCTAATACTAACAAGTTTTAATAAAGAGTTTGTGGGCCTGAAAAACGTAAAGATTGCCATTAAAAAGGAGAGCTTTATCAACAAAAATATGTAGAAAACTCAAAATGATGAAACATGATTTATTGAATGGGATGTGTCAATGACCTGACATGCTTATTAAATTATAAAGAAGTCTTTACTATGAAAGCAGCTTATTCAATATACACATCTACATGTGGTTTGGAAACACAGTAATGTGTGTAAGCCAGGGGGTTGTGATTAAAGGTTGAACTAGGAGACCCAGCTTCAAATCCACACTCAGCCATGGAAGTTCACTTGGAGGACTTTGAGTCCATCATTCTCTCTCAGCCCAATCTACATCACAGGATTGTTGTGTGTGGGGGTGGAATTGGAGGAGGGAGTGTTATATATGCTGCCAAGCTCATGGAAGAACAGCAGGCTATAAATGTAAGAAATAATAAATATAATAAACTTGGGTTAAAAATGATAATGAGCTAAAAGATCTAGACAAAAAGATTCCAGAAGCGCGTCTGATAAAAAGGTAAACATTCTTGGAAAAGAGATTTCCAAAGTTGAAGCATCAATACAGAAAAGATACTTCTGAAGATGACCTGTAAATAAGGTATTTTGAACCTAAAGGCTATATTAGGTTCTGTACAATATTCCAAGAATCACAGGCCACAATACAGGGATAGGAATCAAGCCTTTGCAGGATTAAATGAACATATTCTCCCTCCCTCTCTCTCTCCCTCCCTCCCTCTCTCTCTCACACACACATGGAATCATAGAATGTAAGGACCTTGGAGCTCATCTAAACCAACATCCTATCCAGTACAAGAATCTGTTATTAGACCAACTTCTCTCTTTTTCCCTTTTTTCTGTCACACTCACACACTTATACACACAATGTTCTGAGGGACCAAGTGGAAAGTAAGTCATCTGAAGTGAATGTACAGGAAGAGATCAGATTTTTCCTGTATCACTGGATTTCTGCAGAAGACAGACATTTGGGCAGCAGGAGGGATAATTGACAGGAAGATGGGGTGGTAGAAGAGGGGAGTGGGTAAGCAGGACAGGAAGGCCAGAGAGATTAGAAACTTCCCTCCACTATCAAGGATATATGTAAACTCTGTGAGTCAGGCTGTTATGTAATGATTTGTCAAAGGGCTACTTTAAAGGGCTTGACTATAAAACATGGGTGTTGCATACCCAACTGTAGGTTTTATCTCCATCCAGAAAACCTACATTCTGTTCCATGTATAACGGGACATTTTGTGTTCAAAGCTTTTTGCCTTTTTACAGGAGACAATCAGCCTGGAACCTGTCCATTTTCTACAGTGTCATAGTAAGGGCAACAACAGGGATGACTTCAAGACCCAGTTATGGGCCTGTGTTTTTGAGCCACCACTAGACTGTGGGACGAGAAAAGGTGAGCATGACTAAGTGGCCTGGGCAGTCCTAGAAGAAAAATGCCAGTCAATAAATCTGATTATAGCATTCCCCACGAACTCTTATTCCTCTTGTGGATTCTGAATTTTTATGCACACTGTTCTATATTTTTTACGTGTTTGCTTTCTCCAGCAAATTGCCTATTTGCATCCCAAATATGCAGGGGAGTAATGATAATTTTAAATAAACAGGAACTGCTATTTTCAGTACACTCATAATTCAAGGCATGACAGTAGTAAAGAAGTTGCAGTCTAACATGTGGAGACCATGCCCAGCCCACTCCTAATTTCTTAATAAAAATGGAGAGGCACAGGAAAGAATGAGGATTTTGATCAAAGGGCCTAATCCTAGTGTTATATGTTAAAAAAAAGTATGGGGCTTGTCCTGGGAAATTTACTCTTGCAGTACAGGTAGTCCTCACTTAACAACCACAGTTGGTATTGGCAACTCCGTTGCTAAGTGACATGGTCATTAAGCGAGACATCACATGACCACGACATGCAATTTCACTATCAGCTTCTCTATTAACTCTGCTTGTCAGAAGCTGGTTGTGAAGCATGCAAAAGGTGATCACGTGAGCATGGGATGCTGTGATGATTGTAAATGCCTGCTGGTTACAAAGTGTCTGACTGTTGATCACATGGCTGTGGGGATACTGTGCAGGTTGTAAATGTGAGGACTGGTCGTAAAATTACTTTTTCAGTGCCATCATAACTTCAAACAGTCGCTAAATGGGGCAGTTGTTAAGTCTACCTGTGTGAAAAAGAAACTGTGGCTATCAAATTTAGTGTAGTAATCATTATTTCACACTCATAAGAATATTGCACAGATAATAGGTATGGAATACACACATTATAAATATTTAAATATCTGTTTCACTTCTGTAGCAGTTGAATGTCTAGTCAAATGAAAACAGGAGGCTTGTGATGACAAGAGGATTACGGTCACTGTGCTCTTAATCTTTCAGACCCTGTGGTGAGCTCCTCTAGGACAGCAGCTACCTGTGGCGGAGATTCTGTTTGTTTGGTTGACTGTGAAACAGGCATTGTTTTGAAAAAGTACAAAGTGACTGGGGAGGTAAGGGAAACACAAATGCTCTTCTCTTTCTGCTTTTTATTTAATGGGACATTGAACAAAAGCTTTATTTGTGCAGTGATGTACCCCATGACTCAACATTGGTGCTGTGTTGAATTCTGTTCTTCAAAATACCTGAATTCTATAACTATACAGTGGTACCTCAGTTCACAAACGCTTCTGTTCACGAACAATTCGGTTCACGAACAGCTTTGGCCGCAAAATTTTGCCTCCGTTCGCGAACGCCGGATCGGGTTACGAACAGGATCCGCCGCCATTTTCCCTCCCGTGACACGTGGTCGCGGCTTCCTGTAGGGAGGGGGACTCTCCCTCCAAGCAATATCCGCCTCCCCATCCGCCTTCCTGTCCTCCACGCCAGAAGTCGCGTCGAGCAAGGTTAGCTTTCTCTCTCTTCGTGCTGTACTTTGTGTCATATCTTTGTGGGTTTTTTTTAAAAAAAAC